GTCTCCTTTTAAAGCAAATGCTTTAATTTGCACATTCGGCATAACATGCCATCATGTGGGCTGATTCAATGGTGGAAACCCCAAGCAGTATAACCAAAGTGGTTGCCTGAGGGCAGAAATCTGGTGGTTTTTCTGTTTCCTACTATGCCGTTTTCAATTAATTCTTCACTAGATGGTGCTAGAAAGTCCCAGGCTCATCTCAGATGTGGCTGCGACAGGAGACCATCTCCTTATTTAAAGCGCTGCCGTTTAGGCTCAAGCTGCAGTGTGACTTTGGGCACTTTTTTGAATGCCACACTTGAATTACATACTGAGTGCACTCAGCTTGATGACCAGCCATGTTCTGTCTCAGGCTACTGGTAGTTTGTGCATGGCCCTTCCCTTTCCCTAAATGTTTGGGTACTCTGTTAGAAAGTTAGAAGCCTGAAGAACTGCATTTAACTAGCTTAGTCTGCTGGGAGTTTAAGGGCTCAATGCTACGCTGCCTGCCCTTGATGCTCAAAAGCAATCGCCACATAGAGCCTTGTGTCCATCTGATGAAAGGAACAAGCTGCTCCAGAGGTGGCCTTCACTGACTTGCACTTTGCATCCAGATTTTGTCCAGGCAGCCATTTTTGGAGGGTGTGTGGGGAGAGGCTTGGGTAAGGCATCGGCTGTGGATCCCAGTCTCCTCCCAGATTTCCAACCCGGAAGATGCAGCTGACATGTTTCTTTCTGTGCTGGCTCTGTATCCACAGCCCCAGCTCCAAAGTCAGTGGAAATCAGTGGTGCAACTCCAAATAATCCTATGAGTCCCCAGACAATGTCAGGAGGCCATAGGACTGCACCCCAACAGGGACTAAGGAACTATTCCTACTACTGCTTGTTTAGACAATTATAATTGTTGCATGTGTCGGGATTAAATGAGCCAAATATGGCCACAGAAAGCCTGAAACTGACAAGAATAGTTTCAAACTATTAAGATGGGAATCCTGATCTAATCAGGAAACTATGTAGTCAAATATGTTCCTGTAATACACATGCTAATGTACGACTGTCCTGAAACTTTTTGTCCCTTGGTTTAATCCAGTCAACGCTTTTGTTGCCACTTTCATGTGCCTCTTGCAAACTACCTACCTGATCCCGGCTCCCATTCCTCCAAACTGGAGGTTATAAAAGCATCCTGCACAGAATCCATCTCTGTAGCCCCTTCTGGGGCTACCTACACACTGCATGTCTGAATAAACTGGACTGTTCTTTTGACTGTCCAGCATACACGCCTTTATTGTTTCTTGACATGTGCCATGGCTATTTCATTCAATGCTCATTCAATGCAGCTTTTGCAAAATTGTTTTTAACAGGGCTCTGCAAGAGTCAAGCTATACTTTATACAATATAACCTTTGCTAACAGTCACATGAATGTATGATTCAGGAGTATGCATGTATTTTCCCTATAATCTTTGCATGTTTGACATTTTACTTCTGCACGTTATGTTCTTTTGCATTTACTATTTTCTACAAACCATTCATTTTACCATTTCCTGTGTGGCATGTTTTCATTTGCTTACCATGTCAACAGGTATTCTTTTCCTGCTTGAGTGTTGAAATATATTTTCACATATAGTGAATCTGTTTCAAGCTGCTTTTCAAGCCCCAAACCTGATGTCTACCGAACAAGAACAATGAGGAATTTGGGGGGGGGGGGGTTGTGCCAAAATATCTAGAGGACCAGAGGATCCAGTTCCCAAAGAAACTCTCATTCACATCCAGAAACAAGGATCTGATACCTTTAGTTTCACTATCAAGTCCCTGAGCCAAGGAAATGTGCGTTTGTCACATAACCGCATTTATAACGCCTACCACTGCAATGAGGATATGGGATTCTCCAAAAAAAGGAAGTTCATGACTTTTCTTTTCCTTTTTTCAAAAGGGCCTTCTGGTTCCTCGTCCCTTATGCAAGAGGATATTTTTAGCCTTGTATCTAAAGTACACTTTTGGTTTTGAAATTAAATATCCCTTTCATACTTCTGTGAATGGTAGTTTCAGACTGGACAATCAAAGGAGGAGCAGTGAGGGATGCCAGTCATGGATTGATTCGCTGTTTTTGTTTTGGTTTTGGCTCTACATCAGCATTCCCCAGTCCGGTGCTGTGCAGACGTACTGGCCCACAACACTCATCATCCCCAGCTGGCTGGGGATAATGGGCATTGAAGTCCAACACATTTGGATGGCATCAGGTGGAGGCAGGCTGCAGTGGGTGATGCTGCCACCAGCACATTTTGATGCAGTTCTTTGGGCTGATCATAGAACAAAATAATAAAATATGAAAACACTAATACTACAGCAATGTAGAACCTAAAAGGCCGGGCAGCGTGACCCAGTGCGCCCAGTCTTGGAGGGCAATGGGCATCCTGTGGAGGGTGGCAGGAGGGCGGAGGCAGACTTTGTGCCCATGTTCCTCCTGCCCTGCAAGAGGTCTGGACAGCTGGTTTTGGCCATCCAAGTGTTCTGGCGCTAGGGATGAGGCCGGTATGAGATGCCGCCGGGACAGACCATGTCCTGTTGGAGCCTCTCTCTCCCCGCCCAGAAGGCCCACAGACCTCCAGCTCTGTCATCAGCCTTCCAAGCTTGGAGCCGCAGCCAGGGCAGAAAGGCCCAGCCCAGCTGTGGGGTGGAGGGAGGGTGCTCAGAGACGAGTGCATTCGTGGCAAACAGCGGTACTGCCTGAGGTCCGAGCTGGGACTCCCACTGCTCCTACAGCCTCCTGGGCTGCGTGGGGCAGCCATAGCATTGCGCCCTAAACGGCAGAATGCAACCAAACTGAAACCCAGCAGCAGTGCAACGATCTGATCATGCGCTGGCATGGGAGGACTGAAAAGCCTGAAAGAATAAAAGATCCTTCATGATGCCCAATATACTGCAGCCCAAGTGCCAGGTGGGCCTTTCCAGATACAGAAGGGTCGCTCCATACGGGATTGTGTGAATCCCTCAACCTCCATTTCATTCAGCTCCCTGCTTTCCCAGTGCTGAATTTGTTTAGCGAGGATTCTACATTGGACTGATTTTTTTAGTCTACACAAATTCACCGTTTGTATTTTTGCGCACATTTCCCAAACTATATCTGTTTGTGTATGCATTTCCCCTCACACATGCATTTTTGCAAGCAATTTCTCAAATAAAACATTTGGTGTGCCTTTTCCCCCCAAATATCTGCACTTTTTGTATATTTTGATGATGTATGCATTTTTGTGTACACTTCTTAAAATGTATGCAGCTTTCATACACATGTGCAAATGACAGATTTCAAAGGCTAGTTGTGTTTCAGTTTGTATTCTGGTTCAGCAACTGAGGATTTGGTAAGCTTGCAATGAAATGTTTCTTACTCACTCTAGTTCTGAGCATGTTCATGTAGAACTCAGGAATATATGGGAATATGAAAAGAGGCAAATACCCCAGATTCACATCCATAACTGTGTTTTTCTTTGTGGCTGATTCCCAACTGACCAGTGGGTGGGGGAAAGAGAACACAATCCTATGTTTTCTGCCTTGGCTGTGTGTAAGCCTCAACACAGAGTTTCGTTTTCATTCAGTGCAAGGCACAAGATGCAGTAGCCACAGCAGTGTCCATCTTCACTGCCCCACATTTGCACCCCATATTTCACCCAGATGGCCATTTTCAGCCTTGTAGATGAAGCTCTACAGTGGGGAAGGGAGGAGGCTGGGGTGCTACTCAGTTATAGCAGAAGCTGTCTCTCTCCCCTCCCCTCCCCTCCCCTCCCCACCAGCACATCCCTTTAGCTGTCTTTGAGGTCAAATTCCAACCTCGGAGATGCAGCAGGTGGAGTTTTGTTCATTCCACCTGGGAAAAGGTGCAGTATGGACTCTGAATAACCCTATTTCTTCCATCTTCAGACAATGCCAGGAAGCCATAGGATTGTACCTTCAGAATAGTCCATGTCTACTTGAAACTTGAGTTGACTCTCAATCAAATGGGTACAGGTATGGGTAAAATGGTGACGTTTGCTTTTGCCGGTTTGAAATTCTGAAGGTTCTTCTACACATCATGGAGAAGACCTCTCAGCCCAAGGGCCAAATTCAATTTGGAAAAGTGCTCAGAGGCACATTCCAAGGATGGGTTTGGCCAAATGGGAGAATGCCCCCAAAAGCCAAAAATACCAACATGTTAAACCTTAGTAGAGACATTTCAGCATTTTAGAATGGGAAATCAACTGCCCCAAACCTGGGGAAATACAAGTGATTAGTATTTGGGGGAAAGGGTTATGGCCACTTGGGAAACCCCAGAGGGCTGGATTGTGACTTGTGGTCTGTTGCATTAACCCATGGGACTGAGGTTAAACATTTTGCATTATGAGAAACAGCAGACAAAAAGCCTGCCAGGAAGTCCCCCATTTAAAAAAGACACTTTTAACTGCAGGGGTTTCAATCTATTGCTGTTGTTTCATCTTAGCAGTAGCCTTTCCTACAGTGATCCTGCTAATTGTCAGAGATTAGCAGAGATCAGCTTGGAAAGTGAACAACTGGTCATGCAGCTTGCAATGTGAATTAGTCATCAGCTGCAAGCCAAGCCATTTGAGTAGACATGCTTTGACAGATCTCTAAGCAAGACGTGCAAGGAACTGAGATCTCGATCTGCAATTAGATTCTGATGTGATTTGGATTAGATCAAGACTTTGTGATTTGGGTGCAACATGCTAACATGACTATCCCTTCGGAAAGTATTGGCCTCTTGGTGTTGAAGATCTGTCAATCCACCAAGAATAGATTTCTGTGTAGAATGACTGTGAACACCACTGAGTTCGGAGAGTCTTTGCAAGTGACAGTCATCTGAGAGGGATGGTTTCACTTGGAGTCCTGCACTCAGCCGGGCGCTGGACACTCTGGTCCCTTCCAATTCTGCTATTCTAGGATTCTATGACGCAATTATTGTGCACTTGTGATCCTTCACTTACAGTAGTTTTGGGGTACTTAACATGGTCTCATCATCACCCAGAGCCTCTTCTGTTCTTTGCAACCATTTATTTTTTTTTAAAGAAAATCTGACATTACCTAAAAATAGCTGACTGAAACCCTAGTGTCATTGTGCAATTTTGCTATACCACAGCACCCCCTAGTGGCTATATTATTGAATGGCTAGAAAAAAAGAGAAAGAAAAACCCTAGGGGGGGCAAACGTATGAAGGAGCCAATCTTTATCTCACAAAGAATCTGAAAGCAGAAACTGTGGTGAAGTTCTGGATTATTCTCATACAGAAAACCCTAAAACTCTACCTTTTGAAATGCTTAAATTCTAAATGTATGGCTTTTGTGCCAGACTTCGGTTGGTGGATCCTGGGGTTCTACTAAAAAAGCAGATCCCATAAGACTGTCTGCCTACCCCGCTTTAAATGTGGTGAAGTTCTGGATTATTCTCATACAGAAAACCCTAAAACTCTACCTTTTGAAATGCTTAAATTCTAAATGTATGGCTTTTGTGCCAGACTTCGGTTGGTGGATCCTGGGGTTCTACTAAAAAAGCAGATCCCATAAGACTGTCTGCCTACCCCGCTTTAAATGTCACACAGAAAGAATAGATTCCATCATTCATTCAAATGCAAACCAGCCCTCATTGATGAAAACAAAACAGACCTTACATGCAAATACTGCAGTAATTCAACTGCAAGCATTATTCGTTTTAGACACTGGCGTTGTTCCATAACAAAATTGAAACTTGCCATCCAAAATAGTGTAGAGCCAAGGCAGAGCTCATAAAGATAACTAAAAAGCAGTGCAAACAGAAAGGAAAATACATGTATTCTAGAGAATACATGCTGAATGAAGGCTTCAAGTGCAGGCAAGACATTTGAAGAAGACAGAATTGGAAGGGTGGCAGTGAAGGAACTAGGAAAGCTCATACAGTGTAAGGAAGTTTCACTGGATATCAAGGACAAGATCATCCTGATCTCCATTATCAGTGTGACAGCTGAACAGTGAAGAAAACTGATGCATTTGAAACATGGTGCTGGAGAAGAACCTTGTGAATACACTGGATTGACAGAAAGACAAACAGGGGGGTCCTAGAGCAAATCCAGCCAGAACTTCCCCTGGAAGCAAAAACGGCAAAACTGAGGCTGTCATACTTTAGAGAGCATCATGAAAAGACTGAGGTCGGAGATACAATGTCATATCAGAATGGGAAGGCTTTGGAAAATGTTTGGGGGAAAAGCCCAGAAAAATGGCGGGGGGGCGGGGGTACAATTCTTCCATTTTCTACACATTTCTATCCACTGCCCCCTACATGTCATCAAGTTTTCTCCTGTGGGGTGGAGATTCCCTAGGGAAGGCTGGGGACATGAGGATTCCCAGGAGGAAGGAAAGCTCAAAACCAACGAACTGGAGGCAACTTATGTGAATGGGAGCTGAATTGTCACAGCTGCTCCAGCCAGCTTTCCAGGCCTCTGCTCCCTCAGCTGCAGTTCAGCTGTTGCCCACATCGTGGGTCACGCTTCTATTCTTCGCCTCCTGTGGCTGCCAGGAGAGGCTTTGGAGGCTGGGGCAGGCAGAGGGGCTGCATCATGGAGGCAGTGGTGGAGACCTCCTCTTGGACATCAGCTATGCTTCCCCCCAGAGATCTTTCTAAATGGCTGGATGGTATTCCACTCGCTTCAGGGAAATGTGGCGCATGCCACTGAATGTATAGCTCAGTACACACCTTGCTTGCTGCAGCGTGATCCAGGTTACACCGACCTTGTCAAATGGCCAAGGGGCAGGACTGGAGGCAGCTGTAGCTCTTCCCAGGAGCTGCTGCCTTGTTTTCTACCCTCGCGTCTGCTTTGCTGCACACCTGATCCACAGCCATGAACACAGGTGCTGGCACCCAGCAGGAGATGCAGCTCCTGCCCCCTGCTGCACTGGGAGGCCCAGGCTTCATCCGGACATATACAGACGTATTAGGGAAAGCACTACAATGGTACAAGCTGCAAAACAGACCACTCTGAGAGTGGAGGGTCGATTAGAGGTGTAATGATAGGAGGACCACTCTGTTGGGAGGGATGTGGCCCAGCATTGGCAGGGGGTTGGATTGGATGCCATTGGAGCAACCTTCAAATTTGATTTGAAAAGTGGAGAGGGCTGTGGTGGGGGAAGTTCGGCTTCCCCACCCTTTACTGCACAGTAGAAAGGGGGGAACAGCACAAAGTCCAGGAATCCACCAAGTGGTTGGTGCTTGGAGGAAAGCGGAAGTGACCACCTGGGGAACCCTGGTGGGCCAGATTGTGGCCCCTGGTGGGCCAAATTTGGCCCCAAGCTTAAGGTTCCGCAGCTCTGCCTTAAAGGCTGACAAATTTATGATGGCCTAAGTTGCCCCTTTGCTGACGTGTTACCTGCCCAACCGAGGATAATACTTCATGCATCTGAAGTGGGCTGGAGTCCATAAAAGTTTAAGCCATTATAAATATGGCAGTCTTTAAGGTGTTTGCTGCAAGAGATGAACACGGCCACCCTTCTAGTTTTGCTATGTTGGGAAGTGGAGAAGCCCAAGATGGGCAACAAGAAATCAGGGTGCTGGGATGGGCACAAAAGTCCTGGTCCTTGACCACGGGTTGCCATGTTCACTTTCCCTTTTGGTTCCAGTCTTGTTATAGTCTCTTCTCTTTCCCTGTTTCTTAGTAACTCATTTCCAATACCAACGATGACTAGATGGTTGCACTGTTAAAAATAAACTAGACATTCTTTGTATTGTCACTTCTGTACTTTGCCAGGATTTGAATGCCTTGCAGGCGCAGAACACAGAGTGGAGGGAAACCCAAGGAACCGTGTGCGTAGCTGCAGTTCTCCCAGGCGGCTGGAGCTCGTTCACTCAGCCACCATCACGATGATTGGCGCATGTGTGCTAAATCCATGCTGCTCCCAGGTGGTTGCCTTGGTGCAGCACGTGGGAAAGAAAGCAGTTTGATCTTGACAGCGCTCTCACCGCAGTCGCACTTTAGGCCTGGCCAGAAGAGGCCTCACCTTGGCAAAGGACCACTGAGGGCATCGTGTCTGGGAATCAAGCCAAAGCTCAGCGAGCAGTGCAGCAGCGGGCAGACTTTTTCATGGTTCTTCAGCACTTCGTTCAAGTGCCTCATTTCGTCTGTCAGCTTTCCGATTTCTCTCTTCAGGGAGGTATTCTCTTGCTCAAGGCACTCGTATTCCTAGAGGGAGCAAAGACCATGAATAAGCAATCCATGCCCAGCTGCAATTCTGCCTTTTGCTACCAGGTGAGGAGAAAGTAAATAGGAACATGGTAAGAAAAAGCTTGCTAAAAAGCACACACGATCTGCTGCAGCTGGAAGCGTGGAGCTACTTGCTGCAGGGATGGGAAACCTTCTTGCTGCATTCCCTTGGATGACCCACCTGGCAAATGAGCTACACAAACAGCCCACCATGTGCGTGACTGACAACAGGGCTTACTGTGAGTTATCCTTCCTCTCAGCCCTGCAGCAAATTTCCTAGTGTCTCACAATACAACCCATCTTGTCTCCCCTTTGTCCACTCTGATTGAGATTCCTTTCCATTCACCATTGTGAGATTGTATATTTTCAGCCCTAGAAATGTGTGCAAAAGTCTTCATTTACCAAAAAAAAGAGGGAGAGGGAGAGGGAGAGGGAGAGGGAGAGGGAGAGGAGAGAGTTTGGTCCTTCACACTTGTTCAAGTGCACTACTTTGCAGTCTTGTGTGGTTAACACCTTTAGCAGTTTCAGCCGTCAAACATTTCAGGAGTTGCACAGCCTCATCAGATTCAGATGAAACACATCAGATGAAACCCTTCCTTTTCCCCGGGGATATCAGCAAATTCCCTCATGGTCATTCCTAGCAGCTTCATAGAGATGTTGAACAATCCCGGAGACAAAAGGGTCCCTTGCAGAACCCATAGCTCACTGGTCAAGGGGCCAAGGAACAGCCATGCGGTGCGACTTGCTGAATCAGCCCTGCAGGAAGACCAAACATGGCAACATGGGGTCTCTAGCCTGGCCCACAGAACCAGTCCAGCAGAATACCATGACTGGTGGGATCCAAACTGACCTTTAGCTGGACTAACATTGGCTACAACTTCCAGAGTGGGACTGCCATGTGGAAGAACTACAAATTCTATTCATTTTTGGAACCCAAATCCCTGGGTTCATAATCCTTTAATTCTCCTGCCATGGTCTGGGTGGTGGATCTTGGTATTCTAGTAAGAAGCAGCCTGTAGACTGCGCAAGTCCAAAATCTGCCAAGCCCCTCCTTCTCTTTATGATCCTCGCATGACACATGAATGACAGGCTGTTTTTAAATTACTGAAGGAGGGAAAGGAGAGAGGGACTTGGGCACCATCACTTTACAATGCAAATGTACAGCAAGTGCTTATTTTCCCTTTCATTTGAATGTGGCTAAAAGAGAACTTCCACCTATACACTTTCAACACAGAGAGAGAGAGAGAGAGCGCGCGCGAGCGAGCAAGCGAGCGAGCACGCGAGCGCCAGTGTGACTGGTGTTTTGATCACCTACTTGGAAGCTTCCGGGCCCACTCATGAAGTTTGCAGATGAGGAGAATGACCTGCATTTCTCTTCTATAGAAATGGCATGGTAGCTACTGGCCCCCGCCCTTCTTCAGCCCTTCTCTAAATTGCATTCATGATTGCTCAGGAGAAACCCTTGAAGCATCAGTGATCCAACTGGTAGCAGTTATTCTTGCTGCATCCCAGCCAACACCCTTCTTGTTTTGCTTTCTAGATTTGAGCTCAACTTCTTGAGAAATAATCGAAGAGCAGCATGTGAGAAGGTGGGAGGGAGAGCTGAGAGCAAGGTAGCAACCTGCCCCAGAGGTAGGGGAAAGGAAAAGAAAGGCTAGAGCAGCTTTTCTCAACCTGGTGCGCTTCAGATGCACTGGACTACCAAGCCCATCATTCTCTGCCAGCTTAACAGGAGTTGCAGTCCCACACATCTGGAGGGTATCAGGATTTAGCAAGACTAGACCAAATGCAGCCCCGGTCATATTTCGTGCAGAGCCATTCAGGGGCAAACAAGGCGGGACTAACTGAAATCCCATTGCTTTCAATGTGCCCACATTAAGCACAACTAGGTCTGGATCTGACCTGTTACTGTTATTGTTATTATTATAGTTTAGGTGTATTTCATATTTCATTTCACGCATACACACACACATCAGTCAGTAATCGCAAAGTTATAAATCCTTTTTGATGAACAGCCTCTTGCATGTTTAGATGAAGTCCTGACACTGTATGATTTAGGCCGCAGTGCTGCGTCCCTGGGCAGGCCCATCAGCCCTGCTGATGGGACAGTGAGGACAGTAGGTCAGGCCAGTGCCGGAGGCATGGGGCAGCCCCACACCTTGCCGCTGCTGCCTCAGGAGGCCGCCTCATTCCGCCTCATGGCCCTGCCATGAAGGAGCAAGCTACTCCCCCCTGAAAACAGTGGGGCTTCCTCCAGAGCAGCACACACGAGATCGTGCTGCTACAACAGGAGTCACTTCCAGACTTGGTTTCAGGGAAGACTGGAGTTCCTGGCACATGTTCTGTTAGATCTCAGTCACCCAGCAGGTTCCTGGGTTGTTTTGCTGAGCAGAAGTGGCAAGAGGGCAGGGGGCACCTCGCTGTCCCCCACACAGCCCTGCTCACCTATTCTACAGCCCCTCAGACAATGCTAGGGCACTGTGGAATTACTCCATTCAGACTTTATGGCATCAGGAGACTATACTGGCTGATTCACTGTCCCGAAAGGTGACAAGCCAGCCATTCCCAGCCTTGCCTTGAGGAGTAAATTTCCAGGAAAGCGCAAGGCACGTGGGATGTAATCTCCACTTATACAGGCCAATGGGGGATGCCCAGCACCCCAGAACTTTCCCCAGGATCCTTTGCAATATCCCAGAGGAGACTGTCCACCTTAGTTGCTGCAACGGCTTCTTAATAAAATCTTTGGCCCTTGAGGGGTGACAGCTTTGAAAGCAAGGGGGCCAAAAGGAAGTGCAAGGCATGTTCAGAAAACCAAAAAGCAAAGCAGAAAGAAGGAATAAAGAAGGGCACCTCAGCCCTGACTCAAAATACCACAAGCTCCAAGGGGGTCATCTCCTGAAATTGGTAGGCAGTAGATACAGACCAGTCAAAACTGTACTTTTCGCAAGGGGTGTAATTCTTCTGTGGAATTTACAACTGGAGGCACTGGCTTAAACATTTTAAGAAAGGCATTCAGAGCAGAAAGCTCTATCCCAGAGCCACAGTAGCTATGTAAATATGAACCTCCATGTTCAGAGGCAGTATACCTGATTACTGGATGTTATGTATACCTGGCAGCTTCTCTTAGACACTGGTTTTAAGTTAGAAGCAGAAGGCATGGCTAACTGAAGTCCTGTTCATGTCAATGGGTCTACTCTGTTGGACTAACACTGGATACAACACATAATAAACTTCCATGGCTCAGAGGCCACTCCTTCAATGCAGGATGACATTCCATGCATCTGATGAAGCCACCTCTGGTTTACACATGCTTATGATACCATAATATAGAAATTTGTCCTTGCAAGGCCCCAAACATCTAGCCACTTGTGCTTGGGAATGGTATTAAAACTTACCTCATGAAGTTTATCTGCTTTTTGTGTTTGTTTTTTTCTGCTTCTCTGGGCAGCAACTCTGTTCTTCTCTCGCCGTCTTACTTTTCTTTCATCATCTTCGTGACCCTGGTCAGCAAAATCAGAAACATTTTATTGGCTACTTATCTGATTTTTTTAAAATCCTTTGGCATTCAAAAAGTAAAGAAGTCATTTACTACAGGAAGATCCACCATCTGGACACGGACATCCCTAGGACATCCCTAATCACACTTTCCAAGGCAGATGACTAGGTACCCATTATACAGACCACAAAAGTAAAGAAAAGAGAAAGTTGCTGGCATATCTATGATGAATATTTAGCTGTTTTTAACTGCTAGAGCATGCCTGAGAATCCTTGGAATTGCAATAGGTCGTTTTGCATATTTAAAGCTCTCTAGTTTCCTCCTCCTCTCCATGCAGCTGCAGTTCTGATTTTTTTGGGAAGATGTGCATTGCATCAGGTACAAGCTTCTCTTCCAAGGCGCAGAAGCAGTACCTTGGAGGAGTTGCCTGTGCTTACCAACAATTTTTAAAAGTTTTGTATCCCAAATTTCTACAATTAATGGCTACTGGTGCTGTTGCTGCCCCTTTGCAACTGCAGATGCTTCGGAATGGCAATGGGCAGCCTGGGTGGGTAACGGGAAGCGAGGAAACTGCTGGCAAGCCCCGTTGGCACCCAGGCTGCCCCGTGCTCCCCCTGAAGGTTCTGCTAAGTAAACCCCCTTCTTGGCAGGTATCTTCCACAGTTACTGCCACAGATCCAATTTAAAGGGGTGATTCCTCTTTGCTGAATCATTCGATTTGCCAAACTGGGACCTTCTGATTATACGGATTTCAAAGGGATTAACATGTTATTTTGGGGCAGGAAAGTATACAAGTATATACATTCTAGATTGCCTGTTCAGCATATTGGGGCAGAGTGGCCTAAAAGTAACAACGCACAGCTTGCTAAGCCATGTTGTTTAGTGGGCTGTGAAAGCCAGTCTCGATGTCCTACGGGTTCAGTGGGCTCAGAAAAAGCTCTGCATGCTTTGCTCCTACTGGAACTGGTCAGACGGCCTCCCCCTGGATTGCTTGCCTTCATACAAGGAATGATTCCACACGGGGGCTTCCTGCGGTCCTTATGCTGGTACGTGCTTTGCATGCGCGTGGGGATTCCCCACTGCATTTGTGGAACATTCCCAACTTCACGCACTGCTTCTGACCAACACTCCTCCTCACCCTCTTTTGCCTTCACTTGCTTAGACAAACCAACTTTTTCATTTGTAAATGTGAAGAAAATGAAGCTGGTGCTGCAGATGCCGTCTCCCGTAAGCAGGTAACTAGTTTATGGGTTGGCTGGTTGGTTGGTTCAGAGAGCAGGATGGAGTATTTCAAAAGTGATGCTATTATATGTTTTTGCTTTTGTTTTTATCCTGCTGCCTCTGTGGCAGCAACAAGCCAGTGGAGGAGGCTGCCAATGCTTAGCGCTGTATATGGGCTATGGACATGTATTGCTCAGCCCTGCCATAAAGTACATTTTCACTGGTCATCCTTCATGGCACAAGTAAACACAGGGAGGAGAACACTGGGAAGAGAAATTGCTTAAGGGTGAAGAGAAATAAGGAGCAAGACAAGTAAGGCCTTGAAGGTTCCCATGAAGAGAAGAAGAGATCAGCCACGTGAACAACCTGGATGCAGTATCTTCTCCACTGTGATGAAATGTACTTCTATTTACATTCCAGTAATTATTTCTAACTTTGCATCTGTGCATATACATTAGCACATGCACATTTCATACAGAGCTATGACCTCGTTGGTCCCTTTTTGGGGCAAAGCATAAGTGCCCATCCTATTTGTCCTAGGCTGGTAGAAGTTGCAAAGGCAATTGGAATTGCATAGGCAATTAAGCACAGTTGCAGATGAACGAATCGGGTTCCAAATGCAGAAATTTCTACTTGGGGCCAATTTAGAAAATAGCAACTTAAATTCCACATATAAAAGCTTCTCAGTCTTATTGTGCTGTTCCACCACCTGCAACACAACACCCTTTAATTCTTTTTTCTGCGCTGAACACCAGTGACCGAAGATGCAGTCTATATAACTCAGAAGCACATACTTCTTAGGTCTAGGCTGGCTGTGAAATCAACCTTCTCAAACTTGGCACCCTCTACCTGTGCTGGGCTACAGTTCCCATCATCCCCAGCCAAAAGGGCCTTAGTCCAGCCTGGATGGGGTGTGCCAAGGTTCAGAAGTCTTCTCCAATCTGGTCTCTTCCACATGAGTTGGCCTTTAATGCCCATCAGCCCCAGACGGCATGCCCATTGCTGAGGAATGAACGTAGCTCAGGAGTTGTCAGCCAAAACATCAGGCGGGTGCCAAGTCAGGGAAGAGTAGAACAGGCCATCAGCCCTTACCCTGTCTTGTCTACCACCATCTCTCACCACTTGGGCTTCTGCAGAAGCCAACAGGACCACAAGGTCTTCAGTTTGAAGGATAACCTTGCTAGAAGGAAAGAAATGAGTACGACTTGACAGTCATTCCTCCCCATCCAAATGACACTCAGATAAAATGAGTTGAGGGGAATGGGTTTCCCCTGAGTCAAGATGCCTAGAAAGGTGCTCGAAAAATCATCCACCAGACCTAGCAGTGATGTGGCTGCAGAAAGTCTCTAAGCTAGGGATGTTGCTTGGAGCTTCAAGACCAAGGGCCATTCTGACGGCTTGCAGCTTCAAGACCAAGGACCATTTTGGAGGTTACATTCAAGGGATGGGTGGGTCAAAGGCAAAAAGGGTAGGGCAAAAAATACCAGTCTGTTGTGGGTTAAAGCTCTTAATGCTGGTAATTAAGCCTCGGGGAGGTGGGGGCAGTAACAGTCAAATGACTTGTGACTGGGGGAAAGAGGCGGCCAGTGGAAGGGACTGGTCATACAGGGATTCTTCAAATTCTCCACCGATGAATTGATTCTAAAAAAGATAGATTGACTTTATCATTGAAGGAGAAAGAAGATACTGACTTCTATCAAACTTGGGACTCTTTTTATTATTGGCTAGAGAAACGGGACTTCATATAGATTTAAATATGCTTTTAAGTTATCATAAATGGAAAAAAAATGTGGGGGCTGATCCAGTAGGCCCAATGTTTTTGATGACTGATGTTGTTTTTAGTTTTTCTTTGTTTTTAGGATCATAATTTTGAATAAAACTTATTATTAAAAAATAAAAATAAAAAAGGGCCAGAGTGGGACCCTAGGTGGGCTAGAACGGGCCCCCAGGCCTGAATTTTGACACCTGTACTTTTTAAAGTTTTACTTGTTTGTTTTTGCAGAGATTACTGAGACAGCCTATACTGAGAACACACTCAGTATGCGTTCTAAGTGCTATCATGTGTGCATTTTATTTAGAACATGGCATTTCACCCTGAAATAAATGTTTAAGAAATGGACATCATAAAGGAGGAACACACACAACAGCACCACAAGATCATGATTCGATTGGGGTGTTGGGAAGGGCAAGGGTTTATTTTAAGACCAGGAATCAGCAATGCTATGTCTGTCCTGAGGCCAGAAAAGGTCTTGGTTCTCCCCAGACTTCCCTTTGCTAGGGGCTAGACTTGAAGAAGTTTTGCTGCACCATTCAGATGGTTTTACTTTTATTTTATTTATTTACAATATATCTGGACTGCCTTCCAGGGCAAGAGACTTCCCAAGAGCCCTACACAATCAAGAAATGCACAATAAACACCCACATAATGACAAAAGAAGAATAATCATAATAATTTTGAAAACAAAACAAGTTTAAAAAACCAGCACACACCACAATAAAACGTATGTCCTAGATAGTATTAAAATAAAAATGCAACTTCAGCTGAAAATCCTGACTGGTCCAATAAAAGATGACCTGGGAAAGGGAAGAGAAGACAGATATATTTCTGAACCCTTCCTAAATACTTAAAATGATGGGATCTGATGAGCCCCGGCTACCCTCATCCCCAGCCAAGAAGTGTCGCGTCTCTGAAATGAAAAGTCTGTACTTCCTATGACATAATATCCAGAGCCTGATTCCTGTGTGCAGACAGTGGCGAGTTGGCCCTACAAGTACAGCAGAACAGCTCAAGCCAGAACTCAGGGTGGCTCCTCCTGGCATGGAGGAAACGGCCATCTCCGCATGGCGACGTTGCTGCCAGCCGGAGCAACGTCCTTGATGTTGCATTTTAGGCGGTAGCAACATGTGTGCCCGGACCCAAGAAACATGTTGAAAGTTACCATGGAAATGGCACAAAGCCAAATCACCCCTTCCCTAACCGTCCCAGCTGAACGTCTTTGCATCTGGTACTTCACTGAGCGGACATGCCTGCACCCTCCCATGCGGCCAACAGGCATGCGGAGACTCCCATGATAGTCTGGTACCCGTGGCACTTGCACACACAGCAGCCCGGATGACACCAGCACCTGAGGCAGCATCACCGGTGGCACTTTTGCCTGGCAGCCGTGTAGGGTCAGGTGAGTCCTGAAGTACAAGAACTCATCAAGACCCTCTCTCTGTACAAGAACAGACCAGTCCCAAAGAGCAGTGGCACTAGTCTAGTGCCCAACTTATGGGGATTAGCCTGACTACAATCCTATGCATAGTTACTTGGGAGTAAGCTCGTGGGACTCAGTGGTATATACTTCTGGTTGCACAAGCACATTGTGTACAGCCTTGATTGCAAATCATGAGACACTTTCACAGAAGATCTCCCACCAGCTGAAATGCAACCTTTAGCTTTCAATTAGAAATGCAAACAGTCTGACAAAGAAGCAGCGCTACTTAAATGGCTATTGAGAAGTAGGAGCCCCACCAGAGAAAAGGGGGGAAATGCATCCTGCTGATCCTTGAGGTCATTCCACATGTTTGGCTCTCCTAGAGTTGCCACAAACCATAATGAGACCTGAAAGCTTTGTTATCACCTCCTTCCACTGGGCTACTGCTTCTGGACAGATACAGTCCCCACTCCTGCTCTGAAGGAAGTCCTGAAATTGCACGCCCCAACATTGCCACCTCCAGGACACCCGTTCTGCCCTTGCTGATCAAGATCTGTGTCTTGGCTTGCAGAGTGTTCTGTTGAGGACTAGCAGCACAGGACTGAGCTGCTACTTCACAACCAAGTAACTTGTCACAGAGCAAGCAGGGTCAGCGCACACATTTCATGCAGCAAGTCTCAGGTTCAGTGTTCAGCATCTGCAGGAAGAGCTGGGAAAGACCCTTGGCCGAACCTTGGGCTGCCAATCAATTAGTGTTTGACTATCCAAGCTGGCTGTGATGATAGCAGTCGCGGTCCAAGGTATTTTCAGTGGTGCCTCATTGGGAAAAGCTGGTGGTGGAGAGCCCCTTTCAGCCCAAGGGCCAAATTCCATTTTGGTGCAGCTCTTGAGGGAACACATTTCAGTGGGGGTGGGAGGCAAGAGGAGCACAACCAAAGACAAAAGGGGTGGGTCCAAAGATGTAAAAACTCCCAGAGTAGCATAGCATGAAGCTGTCACTACCAGTAAGCCATTGCCGTGGCATTTCAAGCCTTATAGCATGGGGGAAAAACTGCAGAAAAATGCTGGGAAACTACCAAACAACCAGAGGCTGGTGGCTTGGGGAAACCCAGAGGGCAGATTGAGACCTCAGGTGGACCAACATTGGCCACAAGGGTCTTAGATTCCCCACTCCCGGTACAGATAACATTGCACTTAACTGGTGTAAGGGAACACCCTGTATTCCAAACTGAGTGAACACTGATAATATTGCCTTGGGGGTTATTTTGTTTTCACCAGAATGTTTATGTTTAAATTCATTTCTGTGCTGCCCAATAGCAAAAGCTCTTTGGGCAGCTAATAACTACTTGTGCAGTACAATAGCCTTCAAAAAGGAAGTACTGTATAGCAGTATAAGATTTCAGTACAAAATTTGAAACAGGATTTAAAACAAAGTTAGCAACTAGAACAAGCTTGAACATTTCTTAGCCAAAGCCGTGCACCCCAAATTGCAGTGGCAGCCTTGGGCAGAAGGTCTCCTGGGGTTGGAGCAAGTGGAATGGCTCCCCCCTGAAGCAGCAGCATCTTTCCCCCAGAGCTGTGCCTCTCCGAAACAAAGATGCAAGCAGTCCTTGAGAAGGCTTGGGGGCAGGCCGGGAGAAGCCCCCGTCTCCCCTAGTTTCAGCCAGGCACTCCCTCGACAGCCCGGGTCACCCCCTTCAACTGTGGTCCCCTTGTGTGTAAAACTGAAACCAAAGCAAGCAGCTTTACCGGGATTTGAATGCAGGACCAAGCAGCACCGTTCAAGAAAAGCTGTGGAGATCCAACCAAGCGCTTTTAAAATCTGGCAATCCTTTTGCCAGCTTGGTGCCTCCACAAAGTTCACGAGGAGGAACTGAGGGCAGCAGCACCAGAGAGACCTTCCCTGACCAGGTACACTGCGACTCCTGAGTGCCCTGCAGGCGCGTCTTCTCCTGGTCTCTTTCAGGAGGATCCTGAGCATCTGCCCTGCCTTCTTCTCCACCAACCCAAATGGGCACCAGATGCCACAGGCTGTGTCCCAGAGGAACATGTGCACCGCAGCCGGCCTTCCGAAATCTTAAATCTGGAGGTCCCAGATGCAGCTATCATGACTAGATGCCACAGAGGGAGGAAGATCCTCAGTTAATTTGTTCTAATCCTCCACCCCGGGAAAAAAAAGAAAAGTGAAGAATCTGTTGCGGCCAATGGTCTTGCTCCTATCTTGGGGCTACAGCAACTTCCAGAAATGCAGCTGCCTTTGGGCCAAGAAGATCCGTGGACAAAACCTTCAAGGGCTACTGGCGCTTAGTGTAGTCAGTCAGTATCAAATTACTACTACTTCCATTATCCCATGATCAAGCTGGGTGGGGACAATGAGAGCTGTGGTCCAACGCATCTGGTGGGTGCCAGGTCTGAGAAAGGCGGTGCAGGCAGGGCTGCACTGGGCTGGTGCCAGGTGGTGCCCCCCCTTCCTACCCGCGGGCACAGCCGAGGTGCCCTGACCCGAGGACCCGCAGTCCTGGCGCTAAGGACTGGCTCGCATGGCGCAACAGCGCCCCTGATTTTATAGCCCCTCCGCCACCGGGACCCACTTGGTTGCCCCTGCCCAAATTAAGAGAGACCGCCTCATAAAAAATAAAATAAAATAAAATAAAACAGCCTCTCCGGGGAGGAAACTCCTTCGCCTTAGGCGTCTTTTGCGGAGTGCGCCCTTCCTCCGGTTTTCCCGACGGGGAGATCGGAACCAGCCCCGAGCGGCGCTCCCAGCGCGGCGCCCCTGCGGTCCTCCTTCCCCGGCCGGTGCCGGGCAGCTGTGCGGGACGGCGGCGCCGACCAGCCCCAGCCGGCGTGGCCTGCGCTCAGGGATGCTGCTGGAGCCGCGGTCCGGACACACCGACTCCTGCGGCGCCTCGCCCGCCCTCTCCTCCTCCGCCTCCCCGCTCGCTTCCTTCCCGGGCTCACCTGTTGCGTCCCCTCGGAAGAGGAGCTCCTCTGCAAAATGCTCCCCGCGGCGGAGGCACCCCCGTGAGACATCCTGGCCGCGGGGCGGCTCGCTCCGAGGGCTGAGGGAGCCGCGGAGCATCGGGGGTGCGCGGCGGCGAGGGCGCGTGGCAGCCGAGAGGAGCGCGCCGCGCCGCCCGACCGACCGGCCGCCTCCTAGGCGGAAAACCCGGCCAGGGACATCCCGGCAGCTGCGGCGCGGCTCGGGCTGGCAGCCGCGCACCTGACTGCGCCTCGCGTGTTTCCCCAGCGCTTCCCCTCTGCGCCCGGGAAAGCAGGAGCCCGCGCCGCCCGGGACGGCGCCGCCGCGCCCAGCGCGCTCGTCACTTTCATGGAAATCACGTGGCGCCTTGAAACTCGCGGAGGGAACTGCCGCCGGGCAGAGCGGGCGGGCGGGCGGCGGGGTGCGCGTGGCGGGGGAGCAGCCCGAGCGGGAAGCGAGAGGGGCCGCGAGGCTTTCTCACTCTGCCCGCGCCGGTGAGCCGCGGTTTGCGGCGGGCGGTGCAGCGCTGGGAGAATTTGCCTCGGGAGGCCGCCAGGGATCCCGCGGGAGAAGGGCTCTTCGCCGCTCCGCAGCGGATCGCTTTTCGCTCGGCCCCTGGAGCGGCGAAGAAGAACTGCGCCGGGGCGGCCGCGCCGACTGCTCGTGGCGCGGGGCGCAGCTCCGGAGCCGCGCCTCTCACGCTCCGCTGCCGCACGAACGCAGACTCCCCACGCCCGCCACCCCCAGGCCGCGACGAGGTTATGGATCGTCGTTATTAGCGCGGGTGAATCAGCCTGACGCCGCCCGGCCTGCCTGCCAAGGGCTGGCGTTCTGTTCCCACGTTAGCTAACCCGCTGCCCGGGGAAGGCGTCAAGCAGGACCGGAGCGGAATGGATACTATCCCGAAAGAACCGGATAGCATCCTGTCCTTTGTGTTCTCCAGGACTAGAATTCAGCGCCGCGCTGCTTATGGCACTGGAGGGAACTTAAGCTGCAACGTCTATTAGCCATAGGCGGCCCCCTCCTCCATGGATTTGTCCAATCCCCCTTTAAAGCTTGACCACTTCCTTCCACCTGTCCTGAATCTCCCACTAGCTTCATGCCATGACCCTGGTGCTATGAGATATTTGGCATGACCCTGGTGCTATGAGATATTTTCTCCACCTTGTGGGTAATTTTATGCCCCTTTTTTTCCAAGCAGAGAGCTCTGAAAGTTTGAAGTGATGAAAGAGAGAGTGCGCAAGAGGGGATGGAAGAGAAAACACTGGAAGAGTAGGAAAGAGACTGTGAAGTGCTAGAAGATGGGTGAAAAATTGTCTACTCTTTCTAAGTATAGTGAACCAGCCTTACTGTTTCTTTAGAAAGGAAAGATTTGGGATTAGAAACCCTATTTAACAAACCAACAGCAGGAAGGAACTACCACACAGAATGTGTCTTGCAGTTTGATCTTTTCCTTTATTATTGCTCAACTTTCCAAAATTATGTGTCAGTCAGTCATCATGTATATCAAGGATGGTTCGGGAGCCTCATGTAACTCTAAGTTTATTTAACTGCTTGCTGGCATCTGCTTGTCACCCACCACTGCTGCCTCCAGGTGCCCACTTGAGACTCTTAGCACGTGGCTTTTCTGCTGAGCAAGACGGGCCACCCTTGAAGGTCCAATATATCGCCAGATTGCTCAACCTTGCAAAATTAATCCTTTGATCATGGGGGCCATTCTGTGAATCCACGGAATGCTTAGGAAACAGGTAAGTATCCTAGAATCAGATGAAGGCATCAACACTGCCAGTGTGTCCATCGGGCTCTACACTGCTATACAGGCTGGTAACAGACTCCTGCTTGAATCTCTGTACGTGCCAGCTCTTCCACAAATGGTCTGAAGAGCGCGTGCCTTTTATCCTTTATTCTGGCTTCCACATCTAGCCTCAGTGGCATCATTTCAGTGTGTCTGTAGTATATGAGACAGAGATTGGCAGGAAGGCTTTCTACAATGCTAATAACTATGCTGCACATTTAAACCAAGACTGAGCTGCATACTGACACTCAAGTTTCTGTTGGATTATGTTGGAATGAGAGACAGTTACTTTCCATTGTCTTACATAGCAGAAAGTCCCTTCCGTTTGCTACAAGTAGTACCTAGATACTTTTTAAATTGTTAATAACAATTGACAATCATATTCTGGGGAACATTTGCATAGCTGATACTTCAGCACTCAGGGATGGGGAATGGGGGAATCCCTAAAATGTTGAACTACAATTCCCATCAACCCTCACCACTAGCTACATCGGCTAGAGCTGAGAGGAGTTACAGCCAAGAACATCTGGAAGGACAGATGTTCCCTATCCCTGCACTAAGGAAAGCTTTAGCTGTATAAGCTATCATGGATCTACCAGGGCAGATCAAAGATCGTAGTCTGAAAATGCATAATTGGTCCATTCGTTAGAAATGTAAGAACTCTGTGTAATCAGTTTTTGAGTGAATTCTCCTATCTTCTGCTCAGTAATATATTCTCAAATTCATATGCATTTGAGGACCAAGTAGCCATCCTTTTATTAATGTCTCACAAAGGAGATCAGCTATATTAAGAGAACAGCCAGACGACTTCTGATGCAATACTAGTTTATGCCCAAGTTAAAAATAAAGAGGCCCTGTGTTGTGACATTTCAAGTAAAGAGTTTAAACTCTTTTTACAACTATTAGTTCAGAATCATAGGAACTAATCCAAAACCACATAATTACAAATAGCTAAGGAACAGAATTTTCTTGATATATTTTACTCTATAAATACAACATTCAGATACTGTATGTACCTTGAGCCAAGCACCATGGAAATTTTACTCTATCCTTACATTCTTCAAAGTTATGTATTTTTAATAGAGTTCCTCTTTTCAGAGGCAATGCTATTCCACCTAACAAAATTGGAAGCTTTGGTTATTTAAAAGTTATGTAATTCCTTGCTCACATCAGTCACTGCATTAATTCATCATTCAACTTTCTTCTCCCACCAGTTGTTCCACTTTCAAAAAATAATTTTATGTCTTCATTTAGTACATTCCAACATCAAAAAAGTTATAGAAAGGTTTTAATAAGTCATTCTCTTCCAAATCAAAGCACTTTGTGGCTGAAGTGTTTAGAACCAACATTAAAGAAGAAACATTGTCTCTAAGGAAAATGGCAAGGACCCAATGCAATTAAGCTCCACCTGAAAGAATGCTTACTCTGAAATACGAGGGGCGTTCAATGTATTCTTGGTATTGGGTTGATTTGCTATTGATGTGGGTAATTTAATTATTTCATTAGCTAATGACACTATCTGAGGGTATACATGCAAAATTTCAAATAAGTGTGATCATTAGTTCCCTAGAAGTCCTCAGTGAAAGACCATTCTGACTGATGTGACAATGTTGAAGAAAATCGAGCACCACGCTGTGATTACATTCCTAACAAAACAAGGAAAAAGTCAAAAAATCATTCACGAAGAGATGATGGCCATTTACCAGGACTCTGCACCTTCATTATCTACTGTTCAAAAGTGGTCAAGTGAATTTAAAAGGGGCAGAGAAAGCACTGAAAACGACCCTTGCTTGGGCGGGCTGGTTACTGCCAGTTTGAAAGAAAATGTGAAAAAAATTGAGAAACTTGTATTGGAAGATGCCCGAATAAAAATCAAAATGTTAGCAGAGATGACAAACCTATCTGTTGGTATCGTATTTACTATTTTTCATGACCATCTTAACCTTTCAAAGGTCTGTGCAAGATGGGTGTCATGAATGCTCATGGCGCCTCAGAAACCAGTGTGAGTCAAGTGCTGTAGGGAGTTTTTAGAGCTCTGTGGTGAAGATCCATCGAGTATTTTTGACTGGATTGTTGCTGGAGATGAAACTTGGGTTCATCACTATGTCCCTGAAAGTAAGCAGGAGTCCATGCAGTGGCATAAAAAAGGTGCTGACCCTTTGAAGACTTTCAAAGTCACTCCATCACCCGGAAAAATCATGGCCACAGTGTTTTGGGACTCAAAGGGAATTTTATTGATCGAGTACATGAAAAAAGGTGAAACCATAAACGCAGCATCTTAAGCAACCACTCTGCGTAATTTAAGAGAAGCAATTAAAGAAAAAAGGAGGGGAAAACTGACCACAGGTGTGTTGTTTCTGCACAACAATGCGCCCGTTCACACGGCACGTGTTTCAAAGGCTGCTGTGTGAGACTGTGGTTTTGAAGAAATAAACCACCCACCCTATAGCTCGAACCTGGCCCCCAGTGACTACTACCTATTCTGAATTTAAAAAAAGCTCTTCGTGGAAAGCGATTTTCTGATGAAGAGCTCAAGGTGGCAATTAACATACATTTTTTAGACAAGGAAGAAGGGTATTTTTTACAGTTAATTTCTAGATGTAATAACTGTATTGAAGTTACGGGGAATTGTATTGAAAAATAAAAATTATTTCAATTTATTATTCCTTTTTCTTCATGCTGATACTGAGAATACATTGAACACCCCTCGTAGGCTTGACTGACTTCAGTGGAAATTGCTTCCAAGCAGACAGAATTTGCAGAACTGAGATTAGAAGAGAATGTGACAATAGAATTTGAAGCCCAAGAGTTACCTACATATTAAGATGGGCTTAAAAATTAAAGTATCATTTTATTAACATCATTATGGCATCAGAATTTAGGAGACAATTCCTGGATCTGTAAAACCACATTTAGTGCAATCCATTCTCACTATATCCATACTTAGGAGGTCAGCACATTAGCTGCTGTGTCAATAAAATGACAAATTCTAAACTCATAGGCTAACGGTCAGAACAATTATGCATGCATGGCAGGATGGCTCCCCACTTCAGAAATACTGACAAGAAGTCATACTGTGCATTTTCAAAATGACTGGGCATAGAATAACCATTGGATCCAAATACAGTTTTACTGGAGTATTTGGAAGAATTAATGGCACACGTAGAAGCTTTCATTGTTATCTTCTAAGTTATATTTTTTTGTGAAACACTCCCCTCCACACACAAATGTTTAATAAAATTATGGAGCACAGAAATCATGGATAAATTACCACTCTCAGTTGTGTAATGAAAGCATTCGCCAAAATTGAAAAGATGTGGCAAGCTTCTCTGAAAGGGACAAATCAGAACTGCCATGTAGATAGCAGACAATTTAAATCAAAATTTGAATAACTCCAGAGGTCTAGTCTTGATGAGTTTGTTATATAGAAAATATATATACAAATACACATTTTACACAGGAAACAAGAGAAATGCACATATTCACCTTAGAAATCCCACTTGATTAATCCGTGTTTTTAAGTAAAACGTCAAGAGCAGGATGAAATGTTTATAGTATTTTATCTATTTTCCTCTCATTGAGAAACAATTTCAAGAAACAATTGTTAGAGTTATTCCTAGGTGAGAAATATTTTGCATCTTTAGAAGCAATTCATTTTCAGTAAGTTCTAGCTAGTAAAACAGGAAAACATTACTTGCAGATAGTACTGATTCACCAATGTAGTTACAGTACATAAATACACATACTGTTCCTAAAGCTATAGAAAGTTCAGGGGATATACTATGAATTGTTTAATATTTATTCTAGGAGAAAACGCTGGGGACGTACAGTGCTTATTGTTACTTACAAGTATAACTTGGACAAGTATTACATGGTAAAGCAAGCAAGCAGAGAAGCAGGCAGTGCCAGTTCTAAAGCAATGCCAGTATCCATTATCTATAATCACCTATTTATAGACTTTTCTGAATACATGCTGCTGGAGCAAATCTGTTTCTCAGCTCTACACCTTGGCAGGTGGATATAACTTCATGTACATTCCAGCTGGGTTTTAGAAAAACAATATACCACTCTTCAAGTAAGCAACATAAGTTCTAAGGATATGTTTTAAAAAGGGTCCTAGAGGGGACCATCTCCCCATTTTCAGTGATCAAGTTGTATCCAATGACAGTTCTACTTAGAGCAAATCTATTGAAATGAATGGGACTTAAGTTAGACTTAACACTGTGCACAACCCAAGTTCAACTGAAAAAGAACCTAGCTTAACATTATTTTATTAGAACCCTAGATTTATAATGCAGGCTATTTTTTAATGTAATGCACAGGGGTACCCAAAAGAGGCAATACAATTAAAGAGGGCAGTTTTCAAGAGATCATAAAAATAGTAATACCAAACTATAATATGCATCATTGGCATGGTTTTAATTAAAAACGGCACATCATGCAAGCAAATAATTCTATTACCATTTCAAATGCAGTTACACTCATTCCAGGTTTCTTGTGAGGACAAAATTAGATGTTTGGGGCAGACCTGGGTTTGGATACCTAAAACAGAGAAAGTATGATTTGAATGCTGTGGGCAGGAGAAAGGTTCTTAATCCCTTCCCGGCTCTCACTTTCTTTCTCCATAGCCCTTCACCCATGTATGTTAAGCTGCCCAGCTCCTCTCCAAATCACATCCTTCCCTGCTTATTTCTAGCTGTTTAGTGACAATTCAACCTGCAACCAGACATCCAGCTGAACAGGTTTATTGTAAATGCCCGGAATAGTTGAGGGTTCAAGTAAACAAAATTTTGAAGTCATTCAGCCACCAACCCACCCACCCTCTGCAAAAAAAAAACTTTCACTGTGATCCAGGCAACCCTTTCCTGTGTACATAAAGGACAGGATGTTTGTAACAGGACTTTCAGCTTTCTTCTTGGAAGCCACAGATGCTGCACAGGAGCATACGTTTGCAGCTTCCCGTGCCACAGAGTGTTCTGCTTTAGTGACAACTGAGCCAGCATGTCTGCTATGTGTGGGTACAGCTCCCTGCAGGGAGCATCCACTCTGGAGACCTCATCACTGAGAAGTATTTATCTTCACAATTTACTTCATATTTACTGGAATATACCAAAGTTACAGCAACTGCAAGTTTCAATGTCAAAGAATGATGCTCAACTTTAACAAATAGTGTAAGCGTTGTATGTAATATTTAGAGCAATATGAAAGGATCCAGCAACACATTACTATCAGATGAGATCTGTTTTGTCTTATGAATTCCACAACACTGTTGATGCTTTAGAGGTGTCCCTGCTTATGGACTGTAGACAATTCAAACAGAAAAGAGGAAGGCGACAAATAAAACTTTCATGTATCAAGACTTATTTTTCTTTTTTGAAGTGGATACAGTTTCTGAGAGGAACCTTGAAGTCTTTTTAGTAGAACAGAATTAGCTGTAGCAGTTTGTGGGGGTATGACTTCCACCTGTGATGTAAGGCTTTTGACATGGATTTTATTCTCCTTTTTCATTTCTGAGCCAGAGAGAATTTCTTGGTGGAGTGTGCACTGTTCCAAACTTGGCTGCAGAGACAATGCTTCTGAGAAACCTTTAGCTTTTTGTACAAGGGATGACAATGACTGGGAGGAGGAGGGTGGTAAACAGAGAAGAACAGAAAAGATCAAGTTATGGAAAATGAGCTGTACTGTATTGAGCATACTGCATTTCATGAACTGTCTTCATGGAATTGCAACCAAAGTCACCTCACCACATCAGCTCACATGAATGTTAACTACGATGCAATTCCACATTTAAAAACACATTCAAAAAGGCACAAAGAATAGCATTTTTCCTAGAGATATACAAATGTATTACACAGAATAACTGCTTATTTTATCCACAATGACTGTAACAATCACCCCCTCTCAAATAAAACCCCTTGACAGGTGTCACTTCTTTATAACCCCAGGAGAAAGTGCCTGAGACCTCATAGATAGATAGTCGGGGACACCTTTGTTCTGTCTGAATATTCTCTCAAGGGATTGTATTCAGCGTAAGAATGGTTTTCAGCTGTCAGGTAGTTTATGATTTAATTCTTCCTAAGACTATGCAAAATGAGACAATCTGCATAAAAAATAGCAAGCCCATTACTTTTTGCTGTATAACAATGCCTACTATATTTTTAAAAATCATAGCATAGCTTTCCCTCACTGGATTTTCATTCTGTTTGCTGGAATTGTTAGCTTAGAATTTTAGCTTTAAAATGAGACCAAGATGATCTGAGTTCAACTTTGCTTTGTGACTTTTTTCGGAGTCTTTGTTTGGGGTCATAAAGTTACTTCACCCAGCTATTCTGATAGAGCTTCCAAAGTGATTTTGTCACTCTAGGCATTTTCATTTTTTTAAAGAGTAAAAGGTAATAAGCTGAAATTTGGAGACATTTTAGAGCAGGCACTTCATAACAGTGATGTCAGACTATGAGTAGAACTACTCATGTGTAAATTACAGTATGGAATCTGCACCTGGGGGGTTCTAAAGTCACCCCATGACTTACCTTAATGTATCTTAATGCCATTACAGAATCACATTGTCTCCAACAGAAGCATATGGGGAAAGATAACAATTCCTTTCTTGACGCATGAAGCCCTAAGCATTTTCTCAGAGGCTGTACCCATTCTGCTCCAACTAACATTTAGTGGCAAAAAGGGAATCCAAATTAGGGAACTATTTAGTTTCTATATTTAGTGAAATGTGTTATCAGTACTGAATCTCTAATACACAAGAACATAAATTCTTTTTATATTAGCAATTTTTTTGGGAAGAAAAACACATATGATGTTCTAATGCTTTAGTTGTAAAGGTATATAACTAGTGATTCCCCTATAGTAGAGAGTGTAATGGACTAGTGCTCACTAGTCTATTAGGTCACCAGGGAAGACTGGTGAGAGTGAAATACAAGTAGTAAGAAAAGCCAGTTGTAAAATAATAAAAACACCAGTTGAACAATCATGAATAATCTAGTAAGTTAAACAAAATATAGGTACTCTCCCTGAAACTCAAGAATATTAAAGTCTCATAAAAGTTTCTAATGGGCCTGTTTTGCAAGCATCCATTCCCACCACTGTGTAAATGCTCTCTCCTGCTGATTCCACTGAGCAAGCAAGACAAGCTACATGTGCAACAGAAGTTTAATGCTTTCTACGGGAAATGCTGAAATGAGCTGAAGCACTCATTTCTAAATTAAGAGAGATCACTGGAGTTCCCTTATCCAAACTTTGTTGATCTGTCCAATTCAAGAAATGAGCATTCCCGTTCATTTCTAAATCTCCACTATGTAAATCTCTACTTGCGGAGTGGAACGGAATCAGTGGGAATACAGAATCCCACTGGATTCTACCCTTAGGGTAAAATACTGCATTGCATGAACACACTTCACTTTGTGTAACAGACTTTCTATCATGCAGTCCCCTGAAAATGCTCCAGAAGGTCCTCCAAATCTTTGAAGCAGATTTTGGGGGCATGTGAGAAATTGAAGGGGGAACTGTCCCTTCCTAATTTCACTGATAGTACAAGTTCTATCAGTGGAACACCTAAATTGGATTTGACAATTAGGCACATGGCTTATTTATGTCAAAAACAAGTCTCTCCACCTTTCCATATACAATTGCAGATAGTTAACATAAGCATTAGACGAATCAAGTTATTTATTTCCTAGGACTTTTGCTTCAATGTGTGTCATAAGATTGACTGGAAATAAATTTAAATGTTTCTGATTGACAAGAACTATTGAGCTGACATGACAGGGATATAAGTTACTTATGATTCAATGGCCTACTGTTAATATGGCTAGCTGGGTAGATTTGATTTATTATTTTTTAACATTTACATGCTGCCTCCTACTTCAAATAGAGTCTCTTTAAGTCACAATTTAAATCACTAGGTGTAAATCATGGTTTGCTACATAATTTGCATGTTTCACTGCCTTTCCTGTAGGTAGAGTAACTTTATTAACATATTCCCAAACTTGGTCTCTTTCATAGCTGGCTGGCCTTATAGGTTTTTCCAGGGAAATAATAATGCAATAAACCTCAGGCCATACACAAAAGGATCCAAAAGCTTGTGGAGTATTCTCCCCTGAAGGTTTCACTTTCATTTTTACTGCTTGCCGCTCCCGCCTCACACTTAGTTTCTTCTCCAGGTCTATTCCACTAGCAAAAATCTTCTTCCATACATTGACTTTTTTTTTAAACTTAGTGCTTAAGAGGTAAGGGGTTGATTCTGTGTACATAGGAACAATGGGGTTAAGGTGTTTTTCTCAACTCTGTATGCTTATTTTATAACATTTTTGCTGTAAGGAAGATGCATGTGATCTCTGCAAACACACATTCACAGTTCTGAGAGCTGCAGAACCAAGCATCTATGATAATATCCTCTAGGCAGAAAAATTGCCTAACAAGCTTACAGATACCTCTGGAAGCGCATGACATTGTGATGGGATTAATGCAATTCATTTACCAAAAAAATTTAAACACTGCATGAATATACAGTCTCATGCTACATAATTAAAAACTAATCCTTATTTCATGATAAACAACCGTTGGACTATAAACTATCTTAACCAGGAAACTATCTTTAGATAGGTTTTCCCCATAAAGCATTTTATTGAAAAAATACATTAAAAAGCCAAATTAAAATTTTAAACCCATTTTTAAATAATTTTTATCCACCCTGTTAAGTTGGTATCCAATCTAGTATTGCTTTTTATAGCTCTTACCTTAAATGATTCTCCAAAGTGTCTAGATGCAGTTTTTGTTGAAAGCGTCAATGCTGACATACAAGTATCTGAAAAGAAAAAATAATATCCTCTCAAAAAGATTAAAGTGAGAAAAATTAATGAGCTCACTATAATTTTTTAAAATGGGGGGTTCATAAGGGCACAATCACAGCCAACCCCTACTGTTTTACAGTATTTTGTTTCACTGGGAAACAATCATATGTTTCCACATTAAGAAATGCTAATATTTACCTAAATTGTTGGATAAATGATACATTTAAGAGGAAAACCTTCCAAGATAAAGGAGTTATGGTCCCACTGCCCACTATATTTTATTTTATAACCCAACAGCTGTTTAGTCTTTGGAAGAGAAATTATCTGCAATAACATTCAACACTCCAAATCAGAAACAATTTAATTACATCTGAAGTACAAATGTGTCTGAAATGTATAAACATGTGCACCTGCTGAACTTGTACAAACTCATTCTCTCCCAACCCACACAAGCAAAGATTTGTAGTGATTAACTTGATCAGGGAGATATGGTTCCAATATCTTGCTCAGCCAAGAAGCTCTCTGCATGACCTTGGAGTAGCTCCAGTGTTTCTAACCCAAGTTGTTTTCAGAGCACATTGGATAGAGGAAGAGCTAGGTACACAAATCTGAGCTCTTTAAGGGGGGGGGAGGACTGGATTAAATATATAAATGAAAGCATTCTTGCACTCTCCTGATTGCCTAAAGATGAATGAATGCTCCACACTCCCACCAGATCAAGCAGATAAGATTTACAACTCCTACTCTCATCAAGGCTGCAACTTTTAACACAATTATATATGGGCTGGCAAGTTCCATGAGAGTCACAAGAAAATGTTGAGTTATGTTATTGCTATTATTCTGTCCCTTTATTTTGGCCTGCTTTTTATTTATATTTTAATTAAGTCCCCCATTTTCTAATTCAAGTCTATGAACTGTCATTAACTGATAGATACCTTCTATTTTATGAAACTTAAGATGTTCGCTTCCTAAAATCAAACTGATAGATACTTTACCATAAACACAAAGGGTTACGCTTCCTCTCTTGCAGCCGAACTTTCCCTTCCCCTTCTTCCTGCTAAACCCCCAAGTAGTTCCTGGACAGTTCCCCAATCCTACAAAGCAGATCTGCCTGGGGCCTGCAGGAGGGAATCCATTTTACTGCCAGATGTCCTCCAGTTGGCATAAAGACAGCCCTCAATACAACTCCAAGCTGTTTAATTCAGCTCCATTATATTAATCTACCAGAAGTACAAGTCTTAGTTTTTGAAAGGAAAACATCTTCTGGTAGTTACAGAAAATTTCCACCTGCAATGTTGCTTAAATATTTTGCTGTCAGGATTGCAAGTACTACAGGAGATAATTTAAAGTGTAGATTGGCCATATCTACTATGCATGACTGTTATTATGGACTATAACTCCAAGCTTGCACACACAATATAAGAACAGAAGAATGTAAGAGAATCCTTTCTGTGCCACAAAGAGCATACAATTTCATATATTTAAAAATCCTGCATTAAAAAAAAATGCCTCCTGCTCTGCGGCTGAGATCAAGATATGCGCAATCTGTTGAAAGTTCCATTCAGGAAAAGAGAAGTCACAGCAGGCCTCCAAGGGACCATATGTTAGCCTCGACATATTGCTTCTTTCATGTGTCTACAGAAATGGGCTTGCACTGTGTGAGTGATAAAGACAAGAGTTGCTTTGCATAGCATGTACTTCTACATGGAATAAAAGCCAGAGCTCCTTCTTTAAGACATAACTGTATTCCAGGGCTGATTCATATTGTATGTAAAAAGTGTGTTTTATAGCAGGACTCACTGTAAAATAAAAACTCACAGATATGGTGTACATGTGACAGGGAACTTTGACTTTCAAAGCACGTGCCCTCTGAGGGTTCACAAACTTGCATCTTTCCTTCACACTGCTATAAACCCATTTGCTGTACAAAACATAAAGCAACAGTAACACACACAATAGTGTCTTTCCAACTCAAAGAATACATTTAGATAGCCTTTCTTTGAGCACACATAATGAAAAAAGATAATCCTGGATGAGGCACACTGAAATAGCAGACTCCAAGCAATATGGCGGTGGAGGGGAGAGAAAAGGGACAACCATCACAAACTCTCAAATATACTCTTTGGATTGAATACAGGATTAATCATGCTTTAAGTAGGCCCACTGAAATCAATGACACAGGTTTGTTATGACTAACTTGTCTCCTTGATTTCAGTGACAAAATCTGGAGCCAATTAATTGAACAAATTACACTTGCACTGTCAGTTAGGGAAATTATAAAAGACTGACTGGTTTCACATAAACCTCATGGAGTGGGAAACTGTAGTTCCCTCTGCAGACAATACATGCTTGCTGCTTCATGGACAACAGCCACTTTGTTCAACAAAAACAAAAAGTTACAACCATGCAACTTAAACTGCTTTTTTCAAGAGTGCTGAGTTGGATTTCCTGGTGGTTGATTTTGGTTTATGAACATGTCCTCCAATAAGATAAATTTTCTTAAAATAAGGGAATGAGGGGGTTTTTTGCATAATTATTTTATATCTCCCACCTGTTCTAAGTCCAGTTTAGCCTTTGGAGCACAGCTCCCTCAGCTGTTATAAGTAAAAGCAAAACTGTGAGAGCACTTTTAGGTCAGCATTTGATTTCACTCTTTGCAATTACATGGTCTTTCCTGTCAACAAAAATGCTGAAACCCAGAAACAAAAAGTGGAAAACCACCCACAGAAAAATAAGAATTTGGGTAAAAGTCAGAGAATAGGATATTATAAGAAGTGAGGTACTTAAGTTGAAAGTTTTTTTTAAATGTTGATATTATGATTGTAAAAAGAAAATGAAATTTACTAGAAATGACTCCTTATGTACTTTCCCTTGCCTAAAAAGCAAACACACAAATATTCCTGAATGGACTAGGTGACAAAATTTCACTCAGGAAAGAATGCTAAGAGCAAAGACAAACTTAAAGAACAGAAATTAAAACTACCAGCAGCTTTCTACATGACTCACCAAAATTTCATGGTACATGAGAACAGAAGCTACCTTAAGGAGCATAGTGAATCCTCACTCAAGCATACAAGGCTGGTTTCAGGCAGCACAATAACCCACACTCAAGGGCTGACAATGGGTTGAACACTAGTTGCCACTGAACTGTGGGTTGTTGCTGAACATGGTTTATCATATTCTCTGAATCCATCCAAGCTGACAAACCACAGAAAACAATCCACAGTTCATAACCAAAAATTAGCCATGAGTTCTTGGTGATAAACAAATCATATTATTCCAATTAGGTTCTGACAACATGGTAACTCAGGCTTCAACAACTATCCAAAGTTCTATGAGAACCCACAGTCAACCCAAAGTCACCCTTGAGTGTGGATTGAATGCAGCTTTGTCTAAACCTGCTGTTTTTCGAATAAGAAACCTGGACTGGAGGGCCCAAAGAAATGCAAGTTGTGAGTAAGCAAAACAGCAGTCATTACTGGAATGACTGGCACACAGCTGAAGGAGCCTAGGCAGATCACATCATCTGGCAGTTCTTTGCAAACCAATGTCAGTGGATCAGCTGTTTGAACTTAGATGTGATGTAGCAGAACAATGCCTCCCAGAACACCTACTTGTTCTTATCTACCTGTCCTTTCCCCAAACCCACTGTTTTCATGAAACAGGATCCTTAGTCTCTATTATGCCACTGATTGGGGGTGAACCTGGGCAAACTATTCCTTCATAGCCTTTGCTTTTCCATCTGTAAAGTGGGAGCATTAAAGACAGGAGCTGCAGCAAGCTACAAATTGCAGAATGCTTTTACTGACAATGGCTGCTTATAAGTTTTCCAAAGGCAGAGAACTGGGATATCTGAATGGATCTGGCCCAACAATTCTTATGATGTACTAAGCCAGGGAAACTGCTACTTGACATTATATTAAAGGTACTTAATATTTAGTAACTGTTATATACATGGCTTGTAAACACAAGGAAATGAAAAAAGGAAATGAAAGGTAGTGAGTAATCTAAATATTGTTGGTTTCTGGCCACCATAGTTACTAAACAGGGATACATGAATATCCTGGACACTGAGCAAACATACAGATTCAACCTAACACATAGATCCATGTAATAATTTGGTCAGCAATTTGTTTTTTGCTCTATTTAGAAACAGTGTTAAAAAACACTCACTGCTCAACATTGATGCTGAAACAACTTGTTCTACATTTATTGCCTCTTCTGTTTTTAGAGTTATTTACAATTCTGATATTGCTAACATATTAATATGTAATTAATATTAACTTCCACTACAGAGTGCGACTAGAGAGTGGGTGCTGCAAAGGTACATGCTCTACTATAAATGCTCTTGAGACAAACCTCAGGAGCATGTGGTACCATCAGAAATGCCTCTGATGATTCCAGCATCAGGCAGGGACAGAAGGGACAAGGCAATCCTTAAGGTAATCTGGTCTCAACTTGTTTAGGGCACTGTTGTTGCTAATTTTTTCTATATTGCCTAATAGTTGTCTGGGCAGTTTACAACTCATAAAATACAGTAAAATACAATATAAAATAAAGCAGGTTGCTTACCTGTAACTGATGTTCTTCGAGTGGCCATCTGTGCAGTCACACATATGGGTACTGCGCCTGCGCAGTGCCTTTGGCCGGAAGATTGAAAGCTAACAGTTTTTGGCGGGAAAGCTCCGCTCCCCCTCCCCCATGGGCTATAAAGAGCGGAGCGTCCGCCATTTTGTTCAGTCTTTGACGACCGAACGTGCGCCCCCTTGTGGAAAAATTTTCAGTATGAGATAGGAAAAAGGGATCGGTACCAAGAAAAAATGGGAAACTTTCGGTACCGATGAATGAGTCCACTCACTGACACCGAGCGGGGCTGGCGGGTGGGTTGTGTGACTGCACAGATGGCCACTCGAAGAACATCAGTTACAGGTAAGCAACCTGCTTTTCTTCGTCGTGGCCTCTGTGCATCACACATATGGGTAGATTAACAAGCTTGCCATCAAAGGAGGAGGGA